AAAGAACCTTCTAGAAGAATCTAGAAGACTAAAAACATTCTTAATTGCATTAGGAATGATAAATCATATTATGCCCTCCCCTAGATCATTGGGCCGCATATAAGGCTCAAACCGAGCCCAGTTTAGTAATTTGACCATAATTTCCTCAATATTCATCGGAAATGGGCTTATAATATATTGTTGGAAAGCTCTTGTCAAGCCCCATCCAACTACAATAATATTGGACTCATATCATGGACCAACCAAACTGGATTGGTTGTTTTCTTAAAATAAATTTTCAAAAACAGAGAGAATAGAAAAGAAATTAAAACTATCCGCAACGCTAGACTTTCCATACTTTCACCTCATTCGATTATGATTCGACATGAAAGGTACACATCACTGGGTTTGGTTTTGGGGAGACACAAATGGGTGTCTACACATGTTTATTTTGCTCAAAATCTACGGTGATTCCATATCGGTAGGGACAATTGAATCGACAATGACTAATCATCAGGTATATCAGTGTCTCACAACATAAAAAGCCCTTCAAGATTTTGCAATAATCATTCAAAGTTTAAAGGCCAATTTATCCGCCTATCCATAGTCTGTAATAGTTGCCGACAGTGGCTGCGCTAGAGGTGAGAATTCTTGATTTTTTTTTTCTCATGAAATTGTAATTTTTTTAATTGTTAATTAATCTTGAAATGTTGAACTCTAATAGAGACTATTAGTAATTTTAAAACTCAGGATTTGATTTTATTTTTCCTTTGCAATCAGCAGACCAAGCCAAAAAATTTGGCTAGGGCAAATGTATCCAAATGCTGCTAAATATGTTGGTCCGGCTAATGTGAACATTAAAGTGATATGCGATGAAATACAAATGGGAAAATAATTTGGAATTGAGGGAGTTGTTAGTGCACTACACACGGATTTATATGTGGGAGAACGTTGCTTTGGTGGCTACTTTGTATATACTACATTCGTTCTTATTATTGCAACAACGGAATATTTTATCTCACATATAATAACCCGTTGTTACAAATAATAAGTACTCCCTCCATTTTAAAATACTTGCTCCATTTCTTCATGCGCGGAGTTTTAGGAGAAATTGGAGAAAGTAATTAAATATGGAGGTAGTGGGGTAGTTGAGAAAATAAAAAATTGTAAAAAGCAAAAGTAGTGGAAGAAGAGGAGGAGAGAGAGTATTATGTTGGGTCCACTAAGGCTATGTTCTTTTCACCTTAAAAAAATTATATTAAGTAAAAATAATTTCAGTTCAGTAAAAATAAGTTCAGTTCAGTAAAATTAATTTCTGTTCACTAAAAATAATTTCATTTCAGTAAAAATAAGTTCAGTTCACTAAAATTAAGTTTTCTTAAAGAAGAATTATAATAGAAAATCAGTAAAAATAATTTCAGTTCAGTAAAAATAATTTAAGTTCAGTAAAAGTAATTTCAGTTCAGTAAAATTAAGTTCAGTTCAGTAAAAATAAGTTCAGTTCAGTAAAAATAAGTCCAGTTCAGCAAAATTAAGGTGAATCAAACAGGGCCTAAGTATGAGAAATGAATTAAATATTGTAAAAGATTTCCATAAAAGGAAATGGAGCAAGTATTTAAAAACGGCCGGAAAAGAAAAGTGAAGCAAGTATTTAAAAACGGAGGAAGTAATAGATATAGTAATATATATGTGCAATATATGTATAATATATAATATAACATGAATTTGTTTTTAGGATTCTAAAATCATTATGAAAGGTTTATATAAATATTTTTAATCTTTTTATTAATAATTTTGAATAATAAATTCATTTATCATTGGTTAAAAATTAGTTAAATAAAATTGATTTAAAATAATAATATTAAAAACGAAGATATACTTTTCCATATTGAATGTGCTGACGAGACTATGTTGTTGTCTCGACCCTTTGTACAAGCCCATTTCGATGAGGCTTGTCGTTTAAAATTTAGAAAAGTTTCTCTGCAATCTGCCTTGACCTTTTACGACCGTTAGATATGTACTAACAAATTTTAATTTTGATTTTACTAATAATATTTCGTGCATACTTTCACTTATTTAACTTAATTTAAAAATACTTTTTTATTAGGATATCATCAAATTCTTCAAACTCGGTGGAAACATAATATTTTCCAACGGATTGAGATATCCTTATCAAGTGGGGGATAATTCTTCAATTTAGATTTTTTACTATTTGATAAAATAACATAACCTTACTATTTACTTACTTGACTAACATAATATTCACTCTAATTGATTGGATGTTAGATGATGTATCATCAACCATAGTTGCAATCTATATGACTCAGGGTTTGAAACCTTTTTTTTTTTTAAGATATATAATGATGTTATGATTCAAATACTAATTAAATTATCAAATAGTAATTTAATTATTACACTACGATAGTAAATTTTATCTTCTTTTATCAATCTCAAGGTTCAAAAAGGGTTGGAGATGTAAAGGGAAGATGAATTGAAGATTTTTTGAGGTTGGGTTTGTATTTCATCATATACCCAGTACATCTTCCTATCTTATCAATGTATTTTGGTTACAACTTTTGATTTTTGTTTTATATTTATGTGTTTAATTTAATTAATGGATGTTTTTTTTTTTTGGTATAAATTTAGGTTTATTATGTTTATGTGTTTTATTGGATCACCTATGACTCAAGTAATTGAGTTAATATCAGCAAATTTATGTGTTTATGCATAGTATTAATGTTTATGGCGATTTTATGTAGTATTGGTGTTCTTTGATTTATTTGTTATTCATTATAATAAGATTTAAAAATGATAGTTAATTGAAATTAAATGAATATATTAACTATTACTAAAACAGAATATGATGATATCATCACTGCCCACGTGTCATTCTCTTAATAAAAAATTTTCCGCCTAAATGCAATGATAATGTCATTTTTTTAATTTAAATTTTAGAGTTATCCTATTTAACATTTTTTAAATGTAAATATTAAAAGCTTTTATCGAACAATTAAAACCTATCAATTTATTGAAGGAAATTGAAACAATTTTTAATAACACACTAATAAACGATCTTCTATATTGAACTATGAATTAGACGACGTCGAACGGATACTATATCATAGTTTTGATGAAAATAAAAGATTTTAAATTACAAATGTACGTAATTCTTATTTATATTCATTTATAATAGCGATTTATTATTAAAATGTACAAATTAAAAATAGGTTTTATATAAACCGTGCATCGCACGGGTTCTAAAATAGTTATATATAAAATAAAATTATATAAAAAGGTATACATCATTTTGGAGGGAAAATTTTCACAAAATTATGCCAATTGTTATATCCGGTGATTATTTTAGTATATAGTATATATCTAGATAGATGGGTATAGACTAGTTCTTTGCCCGAGCAATTCGGATATTTACAGAAAAAATATATATATATATATATATATTTTACAATTAGTATAAGTTTGTACTTCGTATATGTTAATAGATTGTGTATACATTTAAATATCTAATTATGCTATTGTATTATTATAGATGTGATATGTTAATGTAGAGTATTTCTATTTTATTATTTGCTTACAAGTTATGAATTTAAAATTTAATTAAAATCCTTCATTATTTTTTTTTTGAAATAAAATTGATTCATAAATAAGTCATACGGCATCTACAAAGAGATTTAGATCTAACAAATACATGATAATTTAATCAAATAAAAACATTCTGTAATCAAAACTACGATCGTTGTTGCAAATCGTACATTTTTCATACTCTCTTTCATATCCCTGTGATTTACAGCCTTCTTCGGCGAGGGGGTCTATCGATCTGTTGTAGCCGTGCAGAAAATTTCCGTCTGATTCGTTCGATGGTTGTCAAAATATTAATCTCTTTTTCAATACCGCACAAAATTTTACCCATGAAACAACTCTATAGCAATACATGAAATAAAAAAAGCAAATCCTCCCTCAAAAGAGAGAAGAAAAACCCGGTCTTTTGAAGGAGCCAAATTCTCCTAAAGAGGAAGAAAAACAGCGAGAAATATTCCTCCTAGAAGAGGAAGAATTATTATAAACCTAAAGCAAGAGAAAAGGCACAAAAGAAACTACGATTGGGGCTTTCCACTGGTAAATCCGATGGAAGCCCCTTCAAAATTCAACAATGGAGGCTAGGGTTATAGAGAGAGAAGAGAGGAAAGAGAGGCTTGTTTTATTGAATGACTTCGAAGTTGGTAATCTTGTACTCCGTATTAATCAATAAAAATCCTTCATTATTAGAAAACCAGAAATACATTTTATAGATTAACAATTAAATATTCAAGATAATATACATTTTATAGATTAACAATTTTTAAAATATTTTTATTTGATTGAAGTTATTATATATACTACCTCCGCTTCTTATTACTCGCAACAAAGTACAAGAATGCGGAGGCCGAGGCAAAAGATTGAAGGGGGATTAATTAAGGGGAGGGGTAAAGTATTAGGGGAGTTAAAAGGGAGGGATAGGGAAGTGGTCCATGTGCAGGAGAGAGAAAGTGAGGGAGGGAATCTTATAGAGTGGGGATTTCCCACTCTTTTTTTCTGATTTATTCCAAAAGGCTCCAAATTTTTTGGCTCCTTATTTTTCCCTCCTTCCCCTTTCCACGAAAATTCAAACTTTTCCCCAAATTCAAATTTGTCATTGATTTCAAACAAAAAGACCTAATTATAAATAGGTCTCCCATCCAACTAACCCCATTTTTTTTAAGCAAACTGTTTTGAGAATGGGATAAGTGGGTTGGGGGGGGGATAATTTCAGTATCACAGTATTGTTAAAACACCAACAATTAGTTAGCAAAATACAGCCCTACAAATTACATCTTCCTACATAATCAAATTAATCCTAATTTCCAAAAGTTGTGTTAATTCCATCAGCAGCATCATATGTACAGAAATCAGGCTCCATTGAAGACCGCAAAAAAAAGCCACAGCCGCCATATCATCACCTTCAGCTAATCTGAAAAAAAGGACTCATGGATGATTTCTTTGATGATGATTTCTCTCACATGCATCATCTTTATGCACAAGAACAGCAGCAGACAGAGTTTTACAATGAGGGACTCCATGAATACTTCTACTCAGGAGCAGATTCACAACAGCAACAAGGCAACAACTCCAGTGAAGACAATGCATATGATGCAGATGATGATGATGTGCAGGAAGAGGATGGTGAAGAACATGATGCACATCAACAAGAAGCACAAGTAATTACAAGAGCAAGTAGAGAAATGACTATGGTTGAAAAGAGGCATCTAGTTGATGAAATTATGCTGAACATGGAAGGGGACTCTTTGCCAAAGGGATTTTTGTCCAACTTAGCAAAAAAACACAATGTTCACAGATCCACTACAACCAGGTGGTTCCAGGTAATTAAAAGACACTTGCTTGAAGGAAATGTCATTGATGTTAGAACAAAAAAAACAGGTGTTGTTGGGCCAAAACCAAAAGAGTACACTGATGAATGGTTAACTTCAGTGCCTCTATATAAGAGGACCACTGAAAGGAGCTATGCTGCTGCCCTTCATGTGTCCCCTTCAACCATTCATAGATTAAGGAAAAAGGGTAGGCTTAGAACACATACAGCAAACAATCATCCAACACTGTCAGAAAATCACAAAGTTGCCAGAATGAAGTGGGTTCTAAGCTGGGTGAACCCTGCTCCATCCTTAGGGGACCCTACTTTCATTGACATGCAATACACAATTCACATAGATGAGAAATGGTTTTTTTTTAACCCTGAAACCAGAACATTTTACTTGCTGCCTAATGAAGAGAACCCTTATAGAGCACAGCAGTCAAAGAGATTCAAACTCAAGGCAATATTCATGGGCATGGTTGGAAAGCCTTTATATGATGAACACAAGAATATGTTGCATGATGGGAAATATGGGTTAATCCCTTTTGTGAAATATGAGATGGCAAAGAAGAAGAGCAAAAATAGGGACAAAGGCACATTGGAAACAAAGGCAATACAGTCTCTGAACAGAGATGCTATAAGGGAAATGTTACTCAATCATGTACTGCCAGCATTGTATGAAAAGTGGCCTGCACAGCTACCTAAGAATGTTACAATTCAATGGGACAATGCAAGACCCCATCAAGTGCCTAATGATCCTGAGTTTCAAGAAGCATGTCAAGCATATGGGTTTAACATCCAATTTGTGTATCAACCAGCTCAGAGTCTAGATTTAAATGTTTCAGACTTAGATTTATTTAGGGTGATTCGATCAATTCAATATCAGTCATTCCCTAAGAACCTAGATGAGCTAATTGTAAAGGTGGATGAGGCATGGAATTCATTTGATCCAACTGTCAACAAGTACACTTGGATAACACTACAAAGTTGCATGCTTAAAATTCTGGAGAAGATGGGAGGGAACAACTATGTCCCTCCACATATGAAAAAAGGCATTTGGATTGTCTAGGTCTACTACCAGACTTGTTAGAAGTGGACAGGGATCTTCTAAACAGTGTAGTTAACTACTTGAACACAATTGAAGTTCAAACAACCAGCAACCATCAACAAGAAGCTAACATGGAAGTGGATGCAGATTAAGCAACAGGGGACTCTTAACTCAAGCTTTTGGGACACAAAGACTGCCACACATAACCACTCATCCCTAAACTTTATTTTTTTTTGTTTTAGTTTAAGTTTTGGTTATGTGTATTTTGGTAAATAACAAGTTCATATTTAATGGCAGTCTTGTACTAAGGAAAACTTGATCAAAGTAAACTTTTGTAAGTAACAAAGACCATTTGTAACTATGTAAATCAAGATTACTTTTGTTTAAAGTCCATCAGATAGGATTTTATGTCATCAAAGCATAGTAGATAATGGGTACCTCAACAACAACCTCTAAGAGAAGTCACTAGAGCTTCCACATGTATCAACTAGCTCTCAGCTGAGTCCCTTCATCATATGGATTTAAAAAATTGAATTGCACTGTATATGGGGGGACTCATTGCGTTATAGGGCCTTTATTTTTGGGACTCAGGTACTCAATATAAGGGACATCAAAATCAACCCACAAAGACAGTGCAATAACTAGTAAAACAGAGGCAGGAAAACAGAGGCAGCAGAATCAATGAAATGCAGCAACTACAATTGAGCTATCAGTTGAGTCCCTTCATCATTTGGAGAACTAAGTGTCACTGATGCAATACACAATTTGGGACTCATTGCATCTAAGGGGCCTAGAGGGGGACTCATATGCCAGTACACATACATATACAAATCAGGCATCAACAACTATAGCACAACCAAGTACAGATTCAACCAACAAAGACAACACAGGCAAGTAAGTGAATAACCAACAGAGACAACTACTCTAATGATCCAACACACTTAACAACCCCCAATGAACCAACACATCCAACTACCCCAAGAGCCAACACATCCAACACATCCAAATTAACCAACACAGCCAACAAGTTAATTAACCAACACAGCCAATAATCCAAATTAACCAACACAGCCAACAATCCAAATTAACCAACACAGCCAACAATCCAAGTTAACCAACACAGGCAACAATCCAAATTAACCAACAAAGCCAAATATCCAAATTAACCAACACACCCAACAATCCAAGTTAACCAACACAGGCAACAATCCAAATTAACCAACAAAGCCAAATATCCAAATTCACCAACACAGCCAACAATCCAAATTAACCAACACAACCAACATTCCAAATTAACCAACACAGCCAAATTAATCAACAATCCAAACCAAATATTGCATTCAAACCAAGTAAAACAGGAGTATAACAATTGAAGTCCAACCAACTATCATATCACAAAAAAGGACTCAAACAACATACATAACCAATTATCACCCACAAGTTGATGCAATTAACTAAAACAATTAAATTAATTGCCAAAAAAAAATTACTTTAGGGTTTAAGAGATTACGCTGCCCATTTAGTTATGGGGGTTGGAGAACTGGGGATAGTAGATCTGGTGATAAGCCGAGTAGACATCATCAAGCTCCAAACCAGCAGGTAGCCCAGACCGTATGCGCTTAGCACCAGAAGTAGGGGCATCTTCCACCACAGCCAGCATGGGGTGGGACTCAGGTGGGAGGAGAACCTCCTCAGCAGTTAATTCAACGGGTTCAGACTCCCCAGTCTCAAATCCGGTGTCTGGAACCCCAGCAGCAGGTACAACGGCGACGGAGACAGCATCTCCGGCAGGTTTTTCTACAGGAAGAACCACGAAGATAGGTACAGGGTCCGGATCAACAACGGTGGTAGTAGGAGCGGGCCTTTTAGATCCAAAAGCAAGCTTTACTTTCTCCTCCTCATCTCTTGAAAACTCGGCCAATTTAGCACCCCTTATTTTTCGCCGAGCAATAACAGAAGCGCGGCGAAGGGGTTTCATCACACCAGATCCCCGACGGGGGATGTAGGTGGTAGCAAAAGAAGGACGAGGGTTGGATCTTTTAGTAGCAGCAGAAAGGGACTCGTAGCCCATCAGATCTGGGTTCTCTTCATCAGAGGAAGCCATTTTTACAGAGAAAAAGAGACAGACAGAGAAGAATACGAAGAATTGAGGAGAGAGAAAGGAGAAAACAGAGTAGAATAAGAAAGAGAGACAGAGCGTTGGGAGAGAGAGAGAAAGATAGAGAGAGAGAGATGGGTATATGAAGAACTAGGGTTGGGTTTAATTTCTAGAACATTCAATTCCAGAATTCAATTCGTTCAACCACACCCAACTTCAATTAAATGTTGATTCATTGAAGGAAGTAGTTGAGAATTTGTAAAGTTTTAAATAAATTGGGTAAATATGGTGGGAATGGTTAAATAAATTAATCTAAGGTTAATTGTAAATAAAACAGATTAGTAGTAATAAGTTGGTTTTAAAAAAATAAAATAAGGGTAAATATGTCAATTTGTAGGGTAAAACTTACTAAAATAGGAAAGAAAAAATTTTGTTGCGAGTAATGTGAAGCATCCATTTTTGGAAAGTGTTGCAAGTAATAAGAAGCGGAGGTAGTGTGTGTGTATATATATATATATATATATATATATCATAAGTCATACCAAGCTAGGAAAATTCTTAGTAATATCCTTATGACGCAGGCTACTTAACTTTAAATTAAGTTACAAGTCTCCAACATTTGAGTTCAGCAAGCTTGATCTAAAAATTAACTAGTGCATGAACTAGCCAGGCTATCCATTTTTCAAGGTCAATCCAATGGACTTGTTCATTTTGTCATCTGAAATCTCAAAATTAACTATTGCTCTCTAAGATACAAAGATGTGAGGCCAACAATGGAGAGGCATACCAAAAAAATGAACCAGCATTCAAATGTTATGTATAAAATGCCATATTAGTCCATAGACCTTTCGATTTAACTTGAAAGCTCCTATATTTATGTGTAATTATGAGCAAAAGATGCAAGAAGTACATAAAAAGATTTTTTTTTCTAAAATGCCGAGATTTTATATAGAATAAAAGATACACTCTTTAACTGAACTCAGATTATCAATCAAAGAAAACCCAACTCCTTATCATCTATACATGGCATTCCATCTCCTTTGAATCTTTACTATAACAAGCTCCAAAAACAGGCTTCTTTAGTGCCTTGAAAGCCCCTCAGTCGTTCGATAAACATGTACATAAGAATGAATGTAAAGCTTAAATATACCAAGCAAAAAAGAGAAGTATAAAAGTGTAGATACATAATTGATAACCATGTACAGCATAGAAACTGTTGATGCCGCTTCAGAAGAAGACTTTACGGAAAGAAGGAAGAAAAATGCAGCAGCTGACAATGACAAACCACTGATCCAGGAGCTTATGATGTCTTCTGATTCTGAGAAGATTTTCTCTTAGTAAAGAACATAAGGATCCTTGGAAACAAAAACCTACGCTTTTTCTTCAATGTGTTACTCAGCCCAAACATACCCTTTGGACTTTTTAAGTTTTCCTTAGGACTTCCTGGGTCCGGGGAAGTGCTACTGGTAGCTTTAGACTGGGCTATCTGCTCTACATTCTTCAGACCAAGTCCTTGTCCATATTGGAAAGGAGGGGATGACGAATCAACTACCTTCTCAATTTTGATTCCCTTCAATTCCGGTCCATTCTCGACACTCTTTCTAGGGCTATTAGCTGCACCTAGGCCTAATTCTGCTTTACGCCTTTGTTCACTCTCAGCCCTCCACTTCCTTAACTCCTGTTCTACACCCAATTTCCCTTCCTTGGCCTTCTCGGCTCTTTCCAAAGCGATTCTCAGAGCTTCCTTTCTTTCTTCTACCTCTTGATTTGCTTCTTCCAATTGGGCCAAGGATTTCAATTCAGATTCTTTGGCTACCTCAATTTGAGACATTGCAGCAGCTACCTTCAAGTTGGCTTGCTCCTCTGCCTCATGAGCCCGTTTGCTCAAGTCGTAGTACTCTTCTACAGAAAGTGTTACCCCGTTAGGTGAGTCATTGTCTTCAACATTAGTTTTGGTTGATTCACTCTCTTGGAGAGCCTTGATTGCTGCAAGGGCTAGCTCCTCTGAAGCTTTGGAAGCCTCCATCTCCTTCCGAGCAGCAAGCAATCGGCTATCCATGGTATTTGCTCCAGCTTTAGCTTGGTCAGCATCCTCCTTTGCTCTCTTCAATTCTTCACGAGCCAAACTAACAGCGGATTTAGCCACATCTGCCTCTTCAGAAGCATGCTGCAGTTGCTTGGGCAACTCAGCCATTTTCTCTCTAGCTTCCTTCTCTCTCATCTGAACCACAGCTATTTCTGACTTGATTTTCTCCAACTCGGCCTCAAGAGATGCAACTGCAATTGAAGCCATGCCTTCTCTCTGTCTTAGGTTGGCTAGTTCCAACTTTTCTTTCTCAAGCTCTGACTTTAATGAAGTGGCGGCCACCTTAAGGCAGTTTACTTCATCATTTGCTTTTTCAATATTGAGCTTTACATCTTCAAGTTCCTTAGTTGCAGCAGCAACTGCTACTTGCATATCGGCATGAGTTTTGTTCACTTGAGCTGGTGTATTGTCACCATCACTAATTTCTTGACTTACTTTTGACTCCATGTATGCTGCTAGTTCAGCTTTTAAATCAGCAAGAAGTTTGGATGCTGAGTTCAAGTTAGTTTTCAGTTCCTTAGCCGACTCAATTTGCTGGTTTAGTTTCTCCAGATCTTCTTCTGCCTGTTTCAATTCTTTGTCCCAAGTGAGACTATCTTGGTCCTTGGCCATAGCTGCTCCAATCCTTTGTTCCTCCGCCTCCAGATGAGCAGCATGTGCAGACTCTAGGGTTTCCTTCGTAGTAATCAGCTCTATGGTATACTCCTCCACAGTCTTCTCAATCTCTTTAGATGCAGAGACAGCCTCTTCAGCTTTCTTCACAGCTTCTTCTTTCTCAGTCAATAAAGAAGCATGTTCTTTTTGCAGCGATTGCAGCTCTTCCTTAACGGATTTAAGGTCAGCAATTGCAGCAGCATGTCGAGCTTTAGCCACCTCAAGCTGTTGCTTGGCTGCCACACTAGCTTCGTGGGCAATACCTTGTTCCATCTCTACAACTCTTAGCTGGGCAAGTTCAGAATCTTGCTTTGCCTGACACTCTTCTGTCTGTGCCCTTTCCAGATTCAACTTAAGTTCCTCAACAAGTCTCTTAATGTTTTCCAAGTCCTTCAGTATCTGGATCTTTGACTTCTCAGCCATCTCGGACTGCTCCTTGTACAGGGGGATCTCTTGCTGTACCTTTGTAAGCTCTTGTTCTATGATTTTGCGCCTCTGCACATACATAAGCAGAACTTCTAAATAACGAGAAACCAATATGTTAACAATATCTCATGTTCAGGACTTAAGGCAAAGTACTGGTCTACAAAGTACTAAACCAAACTAAAAACAGAAAATCAGCTATATTAACCTCCACAGTCTGAACTTTATGAGCTTTCCAGTCAACAATGCCTCCAAACTTAGAAACTGCTTCTTTCACAGATTCAAATGGTGCTGCTGTATCAATAAGAATTCTGTTTAAGTCATACTCAGCAGTAACGTTGGAGGGACTATCAGGAGTTCCACCTCCAACTGCAGCCCCAGCAGCCTTGCCATTTGTGGCAACATCTCCAACAGAGGGAGCCTTAATGTCTTTTACAGAATCATTGACAGAAGCAAGTTCTGGAGAATCTGAAATGACATAAGTAAGAGCGTGTTGAAAAAAGAATGAAATGAAACAGATAAGAACAAAGCAATCTGTTCTGATATGTGGTTTCCAAAAACAAGCAGATCTAAAAAATCTTTTTTTATGAGATCTAAAGTACTACATATATGATATTCACAATCCTAGGTACTTTGACATATCAGCTCAAATTGACCTCAACTGTTCCTAGCTTAATATGCTCTATAGTTTGATTGAAGCCATTGTTTGTATACCAAGTATAGTGCAAAGTATGAGAATAATTTGTCACCAGCTTTCACAATGCTTTTTTGTTTTGCTTTCAAGTACCTGAATTTTTATTTATTTTTCCTTATTTATCCCCTTAAAATCACCCAAAAATGTATCTATGTTACTACAGGAAATTAGCAAGACCTAGATCAATTAATTTCACTATTTACATCACATAAAACAAACCATTATGCATTATGAAACCAATGCACTAAGGAAACAGTGCAACAGAAAATAAAAGAAAAAATATCAGAAAAATGGATCCCCTCGGCCCTCCCTACTTTAATTCTCTATTAATATGTAGCAGAAACTCCCCCATTCCCAGAGAGAGAAAAACATAGAACCAAAAGAGAAAGAAAGATGGCAATATATTCTTTCTAAAGCTATTTATTTAACTTTGGCACTTGAAAATACAAGTACATTTAGATTCCTTACTTCTAAATGAACCAATTTGAAGTAGTGGGAAAATGACACTAACACTAAATTTCTAATAAAAATTAAACAAAGAGGGCAAATAATCTACAGCTTGTTCCATAAGAAAATCCTTTGTTCAGCTAAAAGAAAACGAGCAGCAGACAGATCATGTAGAGACAAATAATCCTACGCTCATGTACAGGCACTAACAACTGCTGAAGTATGCCACTTTTTCATCAAATTAATAAATCACCCGCAACATCATCAACTGACCTCCCACAAATTATTACACCAACTTAAGGAAACATAAGTTTCTGCTTATTTTGGGCTACTGTTCTGACTACTGAGCACAACTTTATTGTTCCAAGAAACCACGTATGTTCTTGTATCCCAATATATAAATCTAACTGAAAGTAGTATGTTCTTGTATCCCAGTGTATAAATCTAACTGAAAGTAGTATAACACAGAAGCGCAAGTGCACAACAGATCCCATGTGCAATTGATAGTTGACATATAATAATCAATTTCAAAGCACTAACAGCACCTGAACCCAAGTATCCTTTTGTCAATTCAATTGACCCCTCGATTCATTAATACATATCCCCGACAACTAGTACATATTAGCTACAGGCATGAGGTTGCAAAGCGATCATGTACAGCAGTACAGACATGAGTAATACTCTTGTTAAGGATGTTTACTAACGATCATTCACAACCATCCAAGCTTCATGCCATCAACTTTTTCACATCAACCACGAAATCAATCACCATTCTATCACATGACACATGACATATAGTCACTATTGACCCTTCCTCAAACTACTAGACCATCAATATAGTTATCATTTAATTTCTAGCTCACCCCACATGCCTCCTTACCTACAATTCTACAAAGAAACTACATGTGTTCCCTTGATATAACTAACTAGTACAAAATATGTGGAACGCACAAATTTATAAATCAAATTCAAGGCAAAAATAATACCTGAATCCAAATTATTCTCTAGTTGTCCATTCAATGGACCATCTGAGCCATCAACACCACCCGAATTATTATCCGAAGCCCCTTCAACCGGTACCGATGACCCGGTACCCTCATCCAATTTTTGCGGATTAGGATCTTCCCCAGATTTTTCATTGTCTTGTATGCCATTAGATAATTCCATATTTTCACTAATTCATTAATAATCACAATATCAATAATTAAGCATACACTTTATGAAACCAATACTAAACTAGGAAATAAATTAATAGAAGTTGAATCAATACAAGATGGATCATAAAATACCTTGAAGATTTTGTGCTGACCTGTTCTTCCTCAGACTGAGCCAATGAAATCTGTGGATTTTCTTCAATTTTTGTACCCATTTTCCTATTAAAACAAAAAAACTTGTTTTCACATAACGAAATTTAACCTTAATCAAACTTCCAGCAGCAAAAAATCTCTAAACTTTAAGCTGGGTACTCAGAAAAAATTAAAAAAGTGAATAAAAAAAAAAAAAAAAAAACTTGAACAGAAATTACCCAGATAAAATTCAACCCAAATTTCAATAAACCAGCTCAGAAAAATTCAATATTAAAACCCCACCAAAAAAAAATTGGAACTTTTTTATATATGGGAATTATTTTTTGGAATCCAAGAAATTGGGTTTTGATTAATCAATGAAAAGAAGGGTAAAGCTGAAAATTAAGGAGGAAATTAAGCAGAAAAAGAGAAGAGAAAGTTTGAAAGGATATGATAAATTAATAGAAACTTTTCCTTCTACTTTACCTAATTTTTATCTTTAAGATTTTATTATGAAGTTGATTGGAGGGAGAAATTTTTGGGGAGAGCTAGAAAAAAAAAAGACCAGAGATTTCGATGGTAGAAATTTTTAGTTCTAATCAAACTGGAAAACAAGGTCAACCTTTCTTTTTTGTGATGTTGATTTGTAGTTCACACTAATTTAGATTGAGTTTTATTACCAAAAAAAAAAAAAAAAAAAAAAAAAAAAAAAAAGAAAGAAAGAATGCAAATCTTACAAGTAGTAATTTCTCTCTCCTCCATTGTCCTTGACTCCGTGCATGCAACGGGATTTCTTGATTGGCTTTTTTTTTTTTTTTTTTTTTTTAATTTTATATTTTGCTATTATTAGTTGGATTATTTGGATTTTGGGGTACCTCACTTGGCTCACTCTAACATTTATGTTGGATTATGACAAATTGACAACTATGTTAAAACAAACATAAGACATAACAACTATTTTTTCATCTGGAAAAACAAAATACAGCTACTATTATACTCTATTTATTTTATTTATGTAACACTTTGATTGACATATAGTTTTAGGTTGTTGAGTTAAAATATTGTGTATGTATGGTTCATTGAATAGTTAATTTACGAGCCTTCAAAAAAAATAATAGTTAATTTACGAAGTATTTTTTATTTTTAAATAGTGGGTTACATTTTAAAAGTAAAGGAAAAAATAAAAATAAAAAGGAAAATTTGTAAATTACCACTCAAAAAGGGTTCTGTTTTGAAATTACCACCCATTAAAAAATTTATTTTAAATAATCACCCATTAAATTAAAAAAAAAAACATTTCAAATTACCTCCTTTTTTGAATTTCCGATGAAATATACGGTTGTGGGTCCCACATAACGGCTATTACCGGCTAATATGACTCTTTTGACTGTTTTCCTCCCCGATTTCTCTTGTTTATAAATTCTCCAACTTAAATTCACAAATTTTGCTCCAAATTTCACCCAAATTTCCCCAAATTTGAACTGGTACTGTGTGAAGAAGTTATCTACTAAAGTTCAGACTCTCAATTTGCATCTAAGGTAAGAATCATTTACTTCATAAATTAGTGTTTGTCGCCAATTTAGGAATTAGGATTCTTGGGGTAATTAAATTGGGGTTTTTTTGCAATTAGGTTACCTTTTTGCAATTAATTGGGCATTTATGTTCGATTTCTGCTAATTTGAGTTGATGTTGTCCAAATTTGTTGAATGATCGTGTTATTATGTTGAATAATTGTATCTTATGTGTTGTGTTTTGTGAAAGAAATATTTGAATGATTCATTGTTTCATGAAGTTGTAAGCTAGTACCTTTTTTTGTTTTTGGTATGTCTTGCAGAAATGGAGGAGGATAAGTGAAGTTAGGGTTTTGATTCAACCCTAAAGGGGTGGTTGAGAATTTGACAGAGAAATAAAGGAAGAAAAAGGGGAAAAAATGATGATTTTGGAAGAATTAAGTGAGGAAATTGGTGAGAGAAGCTGAATTTTGAGTTTAATGGAGTTGTCAGAGTGTTAGGTTGAAGAAAAGAAGAAAAAAAAAGGAGAGAAGTTAATAAGGTGAAACCCACAATCGGAAATTTCACCAGAAATTCAAAAAAAAGTGGCAATTTAAAATGTTTTTTAATTTAATAGGTGGTAATTTCAAAATATGATCCCTTTTTGGGTGATAATTTACAATATTCCAAATAAAAAATTAAAAAGTATGTATAGGGTGAAAACTGAGAATAGGGATAAGGAGATATACAATATAATTAAACAATGGTAATTTCCATTAAAAGATTTGTTTCATAAAAAAAATGGTTGTATTACTAAAGTGTTGCATTTAAAATAAACTGGAGACTTTTATAAGGTTCATAAGTTGTGTGATTTGTGAGAAATGAACTAATTAAGATATGATTAGAGAAATAAATAAAGCTTTAAAGGTAGCTGATAAATTGCGTAAACAGTAAACATCAGCATGTTGCAATATATCAGATTCTGAGGTAATAGTTTGGAAAATGCCTATATAAAATTATAAATAGCTAAATACATTAATATTTATATGGTACTGGCTTTTCTAAAATTCTTAAAATGGTTCTTTGAAACAGAGGAAGCGGAGATTTTTACATGGTGACACTGTTTTTCAGCTTGTACATTAGCATTTTCGCCGATTAAGCTACCTTGAAGCTAATAGCCTCTTCATATTTGATTCAGTTTCCTTATCCCGTGTACTGTCTTTTCAATCATGTGGACTAAAAAATGTCTAAATTTGAACCAAAGAGTAGCAAATTCACTACAAAAGAGAACCAAAAAATTGTACTATTTTGAGCTTGGGAATCTATCAAATGATTAAAGGGGAAAGTAAATGCTAATTGCTCCCTAAGACTTTCTAAAGTTAAAAACCATCTTCCATCTGAATGGCACTTTGTATTGAGGTGCATGCATCTTGCAAAACTAATTTGAACTTCCATTACCATTTCGCAGAAAAATACTCCAAGCCCTGAACAAAACTTCGGAATTAAGAATATGAATAACAAATAAATATTGACAACCACAGGAAAAATGTATCACTTTACATTTCATTGTGTATCAACTCACTTCCTATCGAAAAAACACAAAAACTGCCTACGAAGCTACCCTCTACTAATCCTATGTAAGTAACTATGTATATAAATGAAACTAGATATTACAAGAAAAATCAGTACCTTCCATATATATGGCATATTCCCATATTCTTATGAACGATTTCTGCCCATCAATACTGGATACTCCAGGAAATCTGTTAACATAATCAGCTGCAGTAACTGTCCAGAGAGGAACAGAGGAAGATGAGCCTGTGATATCTTAGTAGCGGCATCATATACCTCAAACATATCCATCCAACCTCCAAGGCTTCTCAGGATAAAATATGCTTCCATGGATATAGGGTTCTCAACATCACAAGAATTTGGATCGTTTCTTTTCTCTCTTCCTCTCTTTTCTGGATCCATTTTCTTCATAACCATTCTTACCGATGCTTCCATTCTCTTTGACCTTCCCAAACGATTTTGATTTCGAAGCCTTCCTCTTCTTACCAGAGGAAGAGGGACTACTACATTCGGCATTGCCACCACGAGGCAGTGGTTCTTCCTCATAATCATTGTCAAATTGCCAATTACACAAGATATCCTGCTTCTCATCATACTGTGAATCCAATGCTTCACCAGCGCCTGTTAGTAAATTGTTGAAAGTCAACTCGCCTTTAATTCCTCCCTTTCGTTCCAACAAAACTGGGTCTGGTCTAATAATTGTTCCAAGTATACTTTTATTGGGACCCAAATTCATGATGGTTTTGGTATTTGTAAGCGTCGCATAAGCCATCATGAATGCTGATCTTATCTGAAGAGGGAAACACAACAGTTGAGAATTTAGCAGCAGAGTAATAAGCAATGAGCCAATGACTCACCACTTCGCCAGTACAAAAGATACAAACTATGTTTGTGAGCTCAGCTCAGGATGAAACAGCAAGAGCACTAGAATCAGAGAGTTAAGACATTCAAGCAATCAAAGTTCCAAATAAATACTAGACATGCATCTAGATTCAGCTCACGATGAAACAAGCAAGAGCACTAGATCAGAGAGTAAAGACGTTCAAGCCATCAAAGTTCCAAATAAACACTAGACATGCATCTAGATTCAGCTCACTATGAAACAGCATGAGCACTAGACTCAGTGAGTAAAGAGGTTCAAGCAATCAAAGTTCCAAATAAAAATTAGACATGCATCTAGATTCTAGAGCACCTGTAAGAACAAAGTTATAAACAAAACAGAACTACACATGGTCCTAGAAAAAATTCTAAGATCCTAAAAATAGTCCCAAAAATAGAGTGCAATTGTACATGAAACAGATGATTCACCAAAATTAATCTAGGTTAATTGCAACCACCAAAGCAATAATAGAAGTATAGCATGTAACAGAATATCTCAATAGTGCTTAATCTGGCTTCTTTGGTTACAATTTCATATTTTACTTGTGCCCACTTACGGTATGGCCATTATTCAATTCTAAAACTTGTAAAAACAATTAAATCAAATTAACAATTAAAATTTCTTCAGTTTGCATTCTTATCATTCAACAAAGTAAAGACACTTTAAAAGGTTGCACATTTGTTACAGTATAAGCTTGGAAAAACACACTAGAAGGGTTAAGCTCTTAATTTCTATGTAAACACTAGACATGCATCTAGATTCAGCTCACTATGAAACAGCAAGAGCAGTAGAATCAGAGAGTAAAGATGTTCAAGCAATCAAAGTTCCAAATAAAAACTAGATATGCATCTAGATTCTAGAGCACCTGTAACTCTGTAAGAACAAAGTTATAAACAAAACAGAACTATACATGGTCCTAGAAATAAATTTTACGATCCTAAAAATAGCCCCAAAAAAAGAGTGCAATTGTACATAAAACAGATGATTCACCAAAATTAGTCTAGTAAATTGCAACAACCATAGCAATAATAGAAGTATACCATGTATACAGAATCTCTCAATTTCATATTTTACCTGTGCCCACTTACGGTCTGTATGGCCATTATTCAATTCAAGAACTTCTAAAAACAATTAAACCAAATTAACTATTAAAAAATCTTCAGTTTGCATTCTTATCATTCAACAAAGACAAGACACTCTAAATGGTTGCAATTTGTTATAAGCTTGGAAAAAAACACTAGAAGGGTTAAGCTCTTAAAATTTCTATGTGAAGGCATCACAGGAGAATATAGCCCCAAATAGCATCTAATGGGTTAATGGGTTCTTTGTCTCATGGGTTAATGGGTTCTTTGTCTCACTCTTGAGTCTTAGGTATTGTTTGGTCGAACAAAAAAAATGAGGGAATTAGAACATCATGTGAATTTGAAAATGAGAGGTTTGTTTGGTTGGCTAAATAAAGTGGAAATGTAGAAATTGCAAATTCATGGGAATTTTCAATTTGCACATAACATGAGAATCTACTCCCTCCGTCCCAAAAAGAACGACCCATTTGGGTTGATTACGCGGGTATTAAGGAAGTTAAATAAAAAGAAGTAAAAGTATATTGGAAAAATAAATTTACATGGGGTTTGTAAAAAAATAGAGAGAGAAAGTAATAAAATAACATGGAAAATCAAATTTTTATATGGGGAAGCTAATTTTGCACAAATATTGTTGCAAATTGGTGGTGTTTTAATGCAAATGGGTCATTCTTTTTGGGACAAAGTTTTGGCCAAATGGGTCATTCTTTTTGGGACGGAGGGAGTAATTACCAAGCCCCCCTTGGTAACTCAAAATTCCCATGCTTTGCAAATGGCTTAGTCACAACCAAACATGTTTAGCTAATTCCTACGAAATTTGATATAGGAATTTAATTCTAATGAATTGTGAATGTCCATGAAATTTATTTCTCACATCAACCAAACATTACCTTAAAATGGATATTATTAGAGAGATAATGCAAGGAACTAAATCATAAACAACCTCTGCTTCATATTATGTGCAACATTTGCTAAATATGGATGTGACACAATGTGCAATAATTGTTTTCTTTCCTTTCAAGTTGTGATTTCTCTTCATCTCTCTCCTCATCACATGCATTTCTATCTTTCTCTCTCCATTTAACACTCACAAACATATTTTGCCTAAGAGTCCATGTCAAGGCCTTTGTTGCACATAATATGAAGCGGAGGTAGTACAATGATCTCAAAGATTCCCATAAAGTAGCATCCGTCTTAGCCACCAAATAATTTATCTTAAGCTGGCAATTATAACTTTAAAGCAGAACAGAAAATATGAAAGGAGCATAATTCAATACCCCTGAAAAATGAGTCAAACGTTAGATGATCGAAAGTCATTTGCTCGGAATTTCGGAAATCAAGAGCTAAATGACACTCTCACCACCTATAATGCTTGGACTAAAACAAGTATCCAACTTGGGTATGGATCTGAGAGTTGGGAATGAAAAATTCTAAAATAAAATATATCAGGACACCTAAGAAGTCTCCAAATTCAGATATGATAACTGTAATGCTAATTTTTGTTCTTACAATTGATATTTATGTGGTCAAAGTAAATAAGTTTGACTATAATTTATGATTTGCATACAAGAAAAAAATGTACCTCATATCATGTATGATTTCATTAGATTCATTTAATGTATATCCTTAAAATATAATTTTTTTTTCTATAATGTCACTAGTGTGCAATTAAAGATATTGATGCTCAAAGATGTGCATTAGAGACCACATACAATGCAAGTGAGTAGAGCAAAATGACAAGTATTAAAATCTTCAAAGAAAAGGAATAAAGGGTTGAAGGGAGGAAAAAGTTAAAAAAGGCTGCATAGGAAAACTCAAAGGTTACCATCCTGGATAGATTAGGGATCTGGATGTGCTTATCCCATTCAATAAAAGACAGGCTCTCATCAACATTATTTTTACTCCAATGCCTTCAAATATTATATAATTAGAATACAAAAGCCAAAAACATAAGTGAGTTCTCCATTCAAAATGAGCAGGAAGATACAGAGAAGAAGGTGACTAAGGGGAGATATGAAGACAAAACGAACCCAAAAAAAGTCACTAAAACAGGATTAATTTCCTATATCTGCAGAGCACTTAAACGTAATGGTGTCTACAGGATCCTACCTCAACATTTAAAGCATCTGCTTATTTGTTATAATTACCCAAATTCTCTCATGGCATGTACAATAATGCAAGATTAGAAAAGGAATTCGCATGCAGACAATGAACCCTTATTTAAGTATAAAACTTTCACTGCAGAGAATTCAATGATCACAAACTACCAGCAGATTAAACAAATCTGACTGATTCAAAAATGTGAACGGAGAGAAGAACAGAGTTGTCAAGGAAAAGAATATACCTGAAAGTAGTTAAAAGAGTTCTTCCCTATGTCATTTCCAGGTGTCTGCATACAAACAAAAGATAGTGTCTGCTGAGTAAAAGGAAAATTCAACTTTCTAAGAAAACTAAGACAGCTAGCAAACCATTTTTAACCTAAGAGTATAATGCAAAAAAGCAAATTTCTCAAGTATCACAAGCACCAAAAAAATAAATATGATGAACAGCAGAAGTCAATTTGAGAGAAAAAAGCATAAGTTTGACCTGCGGATCTTCTATTGATATAAGAAATGGGCGCCCCTTAGTTTGAAACCTGGAATGCAAACAGAGAATGACATGTGTAAAGTATGGGAAACCATCATCATAAAAATTTAAGCCATCAATCTGTCAAATGGTCAAAACTACATAGCAAAACATGATCTTCAAAAAGACAAGAGTTTCAAGCAAAGAAAGAAACATACCCTTTGCGACTCTTTAAATAAAAGGTTCCTGTTCCATTGCAGGACACACCAACATCCCAAGTGTTTAATCTATGAGCATAGAACTCAAAAAATTTAACCTGTTTGCAAAAGAAAAAAACTGCTTATAACATATGTAGAGAGGCATGCAAATTAACAGTAATAGCTACGACTCACACGTGCCTTCAATGCCCTTTAATATTGATTAGGGAAAAAAACAAATTAACAAGACAAAGAGCAAATTCAATCCCAATTCACAATGCGCTATCCCAAAGTTAAGATATGTACAAAAATTACCTCAATCAATATTCCCAATAAACAAACCATGCATATTTTCCAATAGATATAAGCTACAATGAGTGTAGTATTTCCATTTTACAGTTAACCTATTTGAAAAAAATAAATGAATTGCTTCCTCCGTTTTTTTTAAATGCAACATACCTTAGCACGCTTTTTAAGAGTTGATAAAAGTAGGTTTTGTTTGAAGGAAGTTGATTAGAGTAGGTAAATGTGCGGCTTTATCAATATAATTTGAATACCAAGATTAGACAAGGGTTAGGTACCACATGTATAAATTATTCTGACTAATTTGTCAATTTACAATGCTTAATCCCTACCTCAAAGTGTGTGCCAAGGTGTGTTACATTTAAAAGAAAACGGAGAAGTATTAAATAAAAACCTATATCCAGCACCACCATCCTTCTCTCCTCTCCCCTCTACTCTAAATAAGCCTTTGAAAAGCATAAAAGTTCATACTTACAACTCTATATGAGTCCCTTTACTTCTCCTCCCTTCTTTAATCAACATATCTGACTAAAAATAGAAGCTATAATTTCAAAAAGCTATGCTTTTTTTATGGAAAATCAGTGGAACACACTTAAAACACATCAAAAGGCTTTCAATCCTCAAATTGAACAGCTCCAAAGATAAAAACTTACAATTTTCAACAAGTCCAAATTCACTATCCTGCACTACCTACATCTCTAAACAATAAGCCGAAATTTCCCTAAATTACCGTATACTTCAAGACTCACCAGAGTATATAGCTTTGAGCTTGAAATGCACATTTAAAGACTAAAATAAATGCAAATATTTTTGTCAAGTCATCAGCCAACTCCAAGCAATTCCTTGATTTTCTTGTCAGAACAATTTGAATCAGTAACTGTTGGTCTTGGGTTGAAACTTCAAAGCAATAATTTTTTTTTCTTGACAAAAACTTCAAAGCAATAATTGAGTACTTAGGTACAATCAAATCTCTCGTATAACTGAGATCAACCCCCCCACCTTCTTCCTCCTTAAAAACTGTGCGACAACAACCCCCCCCCCCCTCCCCCGGGGCGGGGTTGTGTTTAATAAATATATCAAATTAACAGTTGTACTACTGAAAACTGGAGACAAAAAGCTACTTAGGCCCTAATCTCTTCATCTTACAAAAATAATATTCAATAAAAATAATTTAAGTTCAGTAAAATTTAATTCAATGCAATAAAATAATTCAGTTCGGTTAAAATAAATTACAATCTACAAAAGTCAACAACTTTAAAGGACTGATATAATAGAGAATCAATTAAAATAATCAGTAAAAATAATTTCAATTCACTAAGATTAATTTTAGTTCAATAAAAATAATTTTAAGTTCGGCAAAAATAATTCCATTTCAGCAAATGTGAGGTGAAGAAAACAAGACCTTAGATAGAACTTCCAAATTTAATTAAACCTGTGGGTGCCTAGGTGGCATTGTAAATAGACCCAAGAAAATGGATGAAAAATTAAATCATTAGCTCCTTTTGCATAACTGTCATGAATTCATGCTTCAATCTTTAATGGTCAAATAAAATGTCAATGCCAGTTAGGAAAATAGGACAACCTCACTACAGAAGAAAATCACTTTGACAAACTTCAAAATGATAACAGAAAGGAACTTGCACGAAGCAGCCTCAAAAAATTACCATCAATACCATGTGTCTCAATGTTCAGAGAAAAACACATGGTCCTCATCATTTCAGACCTATAGCGCAATTGCTAGTAAATCTTAGTTTATTAAATATAGAAAAGACTGTAAGCGAAATAAACTGTAATAAGGTATACGATAGATACGGAAATCCTGTGACTCTCATTCCCTGTAAACAAGGAAGTGAGAGAGAAAATTGAGATTTCTTATCTTCGTAACATACCAATAATATTCCCAAGTTCTGCTCTGGAGACCTTTGGCAGTCATTCACACTCTGTACACAATTAAAAGAGGTTACAAAGTCAATACAAACCATTACAGAAAATTACAGGTTCAGTAACACAAAATGCACTAACTTATAATTGGCTAATAAGTACAAAGAGAAGAAAGATAGTCTTACAGAAATTACTACCTCTGTTCCAAATTATTTGCCACTATTTGACATAAAATGTGAGTAGAAAGTGTCTAATCATTACAAATAATATGAAACGGAGGTAGTAGAATAAACAAGCTAAATTTCTTCTTTGGAGTCATGAGCCATAAAAGAGCAATAATACTTAAACTTTCACGACATTCCCTCATACTGTGCTAACAGGTTTCAAGAGACAGAACAGATTCCCAAGCATAAGATGGCAATCTCTATATTTACACTTAAAAAATCATATCACATAAATGAGAAATACTTCATTTTTATCAGTGGAGCAGAAATTAAGAACAAATTTGGTGAGCTATTCCTGAAGATGCCTCATTTTGAAATAAAAAATGAAAACGTAATTATTAAAAACCAATATAATAAATATCTTGTTGGTAACACTAATACAAAAGTAACAGATATGTAGAGTACATTAGGTTTTAAATATCAATTTTCAATCCCTCCCTTGCTCCTCAAAGGATAAATCTAATGAGTTATTCGATAGATCAATAGTATACACTAAGAATGAGGAGGGAACTACGAACAAACAGAAGGAACAAAGTGCCTTCTCTTTCAGTCTTTCATTCTTGAGATTTTTTTACAATACCAGGAGGGGGGGCAAACAAGATAATATAAAATATATTCTTTTTTAAAGGTGTTCTTCATTTCTTCAGAGATAATATGAAACTTTAGAAAGAGTGATCAAGAGGAGAATGAGGGAGAAAGCTACTTCAAGGAATCAAATTGGTACGTTGCTCCGCATATTTACAATGGAATCTCTATGGTCTCTCGCACAAAAACAATACAATAAATCCTCCTATTCACCAACTCTAAAGATTAAAGTTTCACTTACTCGCAGCATAGCAATCAGCATGGCAAGCAGTGCATAAGAGCCAACTCCTCCAGAGTAAACCTATAATTGAGCAGAGATCATGAAGTCAAAGGGAACTTCAACTCCCAAGCATATGAAAAGAAGTAGATAGCACATTGCAACAAAGTACCTCGTTCAACTCTCTCTGCTGCAGGAAAACCTTAAGAATCAAACAGAGAGGCCGCAAGGGAGGCAACCTTGATATTGCATCCTGGGAAATATATTACAAATATATTATTGAGCTATTCATATTAGACAATAAAAATGATAAATATAGCCAAATAAGTTAAGCAAGAAATTAAATTAAAATCTATGGTAGTAAACATTGAAAAACCCATCATTTCAAGGGTGGAATAGTGTTCAAGATTCATATCCAAAACAAGGTATACGGCAAACTTCAAGTTATTAATACTTATTATGGTGTGAAATAATAGCCATGCATCAATTAAATCTTGATCCAAATCCCAATCCCTGAAAGTAAGGAGATACATGGATGCTGCGAGGTGGGGAACCAAATGAAATGAGAAATAGAGAAATATTGGGTTTATCTATCCACTTGTTGCATCCAGGTTGGAAGCTCCCATATTCAAAACTGTCTTTGGTGCCTAAGGCTGGCTCTAAACACATCTACTTGCTTCACCCACAAGGATAAAGGAAGGACATAATCCAGATATCTTCCTATATTTTCCATATATTACCACAAGTCTGGACAGCTGAAGCAATATATGTAAAAAAATAAATCAAATTCCAGCCAAACAGAAACCCAATAATGTCACATCAGCCAATTATCATAAAGAAAACTATTTTGGAACACAGCCAGCCATTGAAAGGCTCCAAATATTAAGATCGTCATTCCAGTCTGTATCTTCAAATTGTGCAATTTATCAAACAAGGAATGTACGTTTCAAACTACCTATTTCACAGAATAGTGATGTAATCTGAGCAGACAGATCAAATATTTGAATATTTTAATCATAAAAATGGAGGCAGCTACTTACATCCAAAAGGATTAGAGCTCATCAGATTGAATTAGCTAGTTTTTAAGACATGATATTCACTTCTCCAAAAATAAAAAAAGGTAATTCAGAACAAACTACCTAATAGTTATCGAGGTTTGAAAACAACTGCCTAATAAGTATGTTTATTTAAACAACTATCATTTATCAAGTCTTGATTCGAGCAAAACTACCAAAAGACAGATTTCGCTAGCAGCTTCCATCAATAAACCTCGCTTAACAAAATTTCTCTCCCATTTCAATATCTTCTTCTCTTCACAAATCCAACAAACTCCATTGAAATTCAAAAGCTTTTACTTAAAATCCACCATCTTTCAACATTCATGCAGTAAATTGAAAACCTTGGCAATTTCCATTTTCCAACATAATAAAATCAAAAAGCTATAAGTTTCAAATTGAGGTTTACAAATGTTGAGAATCTTAGGATAGTTATTCAATTCTTTAGATTAAGATTGTCAATCGATAGTAATAGTTCTATTCTTTGGATTAATCATTGGGAGAAATTGTTCAATTAACCCATTGCAATTTACAATTACCGCAAAAACTGTTAACTTTTGTTCATTACTTCTGGAATTCAGTGGAAAGAAGGTAGAAGAAAAAAGAAAAGAGAGAGTAATGACGTAGGAGATTTGAATAGTGAATATACGTTTTAACTAATAACAAGGACTACTAGGTAGTTGTAAAGGATGATTGTCTTAATATAATAGTTAAAAACTGCAAATAATATGCCTATTTAGAAGAATAGCTACATAATAGAACATTGAACTTCCTATGAGAAATAGGATTCACCAACCTGGATATACTCAGCAGCTTTGGGACCATTGTCAACATCAAAACTACAACAGCAAAAATCCATTAGATTCCAAAGCAAATGTAGATATGATCAAGCAAACACTCATAATACAAATTTTACTAATCAATTCAATTTTACTTCAAGAATATTAGGATCACATTGTAATTCATTGAAGGGGCCGGCACGTTTTAGTATTTTAATTTATTGCATACACCTTGACCATCTTTTCTTCTCGTGTTTTTTTACTAATTCCCAATCAAGCTTTTCACCAACTCTCTTTTACTACATAATCAAATAACTTTTATTAAGAGAAGTAAACTGATGACCTGATATTTCAGATGATTACAGGGGAATGGCTTGAGTGGTGAAGGTTTAATTTCCAACTACTGAAATTAATGCTTTAGACCTCTCCAACCACCACGGCACCATCCCTAATTTTTCTTCCTATGAAACTACTGAAAGTCATTTTGGTAGCCTCAAACGGAATGTCTCAATCATTCCAACCCACATTTTTATTTTAATTGGTAAAACAGAATAGTACTTTAAGCTACCAAGAAGGTGTTAACTTTACTCAAAAGGAGGGTTACAATAAAAAAAAAAAAAAAAAAAACATCATGCCAGTGACTCAATGCATCAGTTGGAAGTCTCCTACAAGGAAAAAATGAATAAACGAAAACTCAATCCCACAATCCATATGCAGGACCATTGCCACAAAGTCAAGATATAATTGATCCACAAGTCCACACAGATAATAAAAGGAGCTAACACACTTCCTTATGATGATCCACTGGTTCCTTTACATAGATGCTATGTTACTCAGGCTCACCAAAAAGTGTCAAACTCACAAGACGTTCTGTCTGCTATTCTTCAAAGTATCACACCCATGTCCAACACGAATGCAGCAACTTTGGTGAAATATCCGTGTAAAATAGCATCCACAGGTACAATAAATATCTTTACCAACTGATGCAGATTGTTTCCCATATTTATTAACACCACAAGCAACCTCAAAATTTCTAATACATCATAATCAATATTACCAAAAAATTCCCTAAACAGCTACCATGCCTACCATGCAAAGGTGATTGGATGTAAGATTTCTTCTGAACCATATTCAGAAAAGCAATATCACTCATGACTCCATAACAAACATAAAATACAGAAAACATCAAGAGCCTTTGTGATGATATCCAAAGTCAAAGGCTAGTCATTTTGTAAGCTTTGTATCCGAGCAGAGAAAACTGAGGAATCAAATTAAGACAGTAAGCAAAAAGGAGGATTTCAAACAGAACAATCCAGCCCTCTGCAGAAATCACCTTATCAAAAAAAAACAAAAAACAAAAGGCACATGATATTGAGTAGAAACCAGAACAAATAACTGAAGAATATTCTCTTAATTCATAGGTGCATGATACTCCCAAAACCCAATTGAAGATCAGGGCTAGTACTATAGAACACATCATCTGATTCCCACCAAAAAGACAACATAATATCCATAAATTCTACAGGTTAAAACCACAACCAACCAACCACAAACCAGGAATCTCGAAAATACAGCAGTCAACCAGAAGCTCTAGAATTACATATTAATTACCTCTATAGTACCCTACACAAACATGGAAACAATGCTGCACAAGCCTTAGATAGCTTCCAGGAAAAAGAAAGTCATACAATTATCAAGAGATTAACATTTCTTTCCCTTTTTCATTAACTTAACTCCTGAAGCAAAACCAGCCAAGGCATAACGTGCTATCCTATTTGGAATCCTCAAAGGTGCCAAAATAGTTAAAAATATTTGGCAGATCAGAGTTCTTTTGAATGTTTTTTTATTATAATCCAAGAATCATATCCAAGCGTACACAGGTAGAAAATAAAGGCCATTCAGTTACAGAAGAAGATGAGATAATTTAATCACAGTAGAGAAAATATACTTCTCTTCCTAAATTTCCATCAACATGTCATTGCATAACAAGTGACTGTCATTAAAAGCTGTTAAGATAAAAGCAGCCACAAAATCTTTTAATAAACTCATTACGTGAATAAAAACTATTGAAATTCCATCATTATTAAAACTTTGTCATAGGCAAATGAATTTAGAAAAAGATTCAAGTCTTAGAATTAAAAGGTCCATGCGCCAACAATATAGAAACGGCTTGATTCACATATACAATAATGCCAAAGTCAAATTCTTGGTCAGTGACGGTGATTTGTATCATAAGAATCTCAGTGTTGGGAACATTAAGCAAGTATCAACCATATAAGGCAAGCCAGAGCCAAACTCAACATAAAAAACACTATGATCTGCCAAACAGCACCCCTTCCCCCTGTCACAACTCACTCACAAGTACATCTTAGTAATTGGTTCATACTCCTTTTCACATCAAACATCAGACACACACAAACACACTGACATACCAGATCCAAAACTCCCAACAGTAGAATACAACCAAGCATTACGCAAACCAATTCACACACTCCCAACATTAGAGGACAACTAAGCAATAGGACAGCACAACGAGCAGAAAATACTGCTACAAAACTAGCCTTCACATTTTAGGCTGCCTACAACCAATTGCTGCTCACGAAAAAGCAATACATGAGCAAGAAATAGAAGACTACTCAAGAGAAGATAAGTAATTGACCAAAGGGAAAAGAACAAAAAAAAAAAAAAAAAAAAAAAAAAAAAACAGAAATTGGGAAGAAACCAGTAAAAAGAAGGTACACAGGAAAAGATTTACCCACAAAACTTACAGTATTACTGCCTATCATACTTTCCATTCATTTAATTATGAGGTAAGTCTAAACGCAAGAATAGGTTCAAGGCATAGAATGAGGCAGCAAAAAGTAACTTAAAACTTGTAAATAAAGACAAGAGAAGGGTTACAAAGAGATATTGACCCCACCTAATGTCAAATGCAACATCAGTCACCTTCTCCAGAAATTTAATAATCGGCACCCTAGCTTTACCAATCACCTGAAAATCCATTCACAGCATGTTAGGTTAAATACTGTGTGTTCAGTGTACATAAAAACGAAATTACAAATTGATGAAGCAAATTCCAATTATAAGAGGTACTCTAGTTAATGAAATAAAAATGGAACATAAAATTATTAACGAAATTTCAGAAAGCACAATTCCACAAAACGATTTCCTTTATGAATCGGAGAATGAAATAATACTTCCCCCGTCCTTCGATTATGGCAACATTTTTTACTTTATGCAAAAGTAAATGTTAGTATATAATAATTAGTTGAATTACACTAAAAATGTTGACCCAAGGAGAGAAGAAAAGTCCCTGTGAACTACAGACTACATAAAATTATCCAGCACCTTGACAGAGAGAATCACTGGGTAAAGTGAGGTGATGAGTGGACCTGTCATACAGTAGGCTTTGATAGGGTATCACCATGTTTGCGCAAATTTTGGCCAGTAACTTCGAGGAAGGATCAAATGTTTGTTTAGGACTCAAAGCATTTAATCCAGGTTTGACCAGCCAGAGGACAGATTTTAAGACGCTCATTCTATTCCTTTCTTTGAGTAGGACAAATGTAACCATGGCATTGTAATATGCAAAATGTGTCTCACAAAATCATGTCATAATAAAGATTCATAGCCAGATCCAATCATACAAATGATAAAGAGTCCAATGAAAGTCAGGCTAGATCCATGGATACAAATAGCTTATGAGTCATGATGACTTGTGTAGGAACATTCTCATGATCTCATTTCTTTGCCTTTCATGCAACGTTTTCATGTAAAGTATAAAACGAGTCAGGATGTATCAAGTAAATACTGCAGAGGACAAACCCACTTTTCTCAAATCAATTTCATATTGGGTTGGTTTATGGCAGGTCTACTTAATGGTGAGTAATATAGTTTGACAGCAAGAAGCAACAAGGCATTGGTTAGAAATTCAGCACCAGTGATTAATGTGTTAGGGATGAGAGAACAGATTAACAGGAAATTCGAAAGAAGCGAGACTTAGGTCATCTATGTTCAAAAAATGAACCATGTATTTCATGCACATATCAAAACACTAAGCCAGAATCATTCTTGGATATGTATTTTTCCCGAGAGTAGTTACATCCATAAGGTCACTCTACAAAATATATTAAAGCATGTGACTTTTTTCATGCTTCATAAAAGGCTAGCACATAAGAGAAACTTGTGATCATCCATTATGGGAAGCTTATACCAATTACTCCTCTACTCCCTCTAGCTACTTGGCTCCCAAATATTCATCCTCGATTAGAAATCCCAAGATAACAACTTGAAAAAGTTAAGAATAGACTACTTAAAAGGCAAATGTGCCATGTAAGACTTCGGTGACTACAAATCCATTCTCTAGAAGTCCAGATATAATGATACCGACTCAATATCCTTGCTCCTTTGCAAGTTAGCTTATTGAGTGTTTTCCAAATATTAATAATGATCTCAGATAACAGTAAAACAATACCACGACTACTCATACCTGCATCTTTTTCGCAATACCCTTTTGTGACAATGCCCTAGACAGAGCTTGTAAGCCAAGTTGTGGAGTTTTGATATTTGATTCGAGAATCACAACCTGCAGTTAACAACAAAACTTATGTTAGACGTATATAACAAAAATTTAACGTATCACAGTCATACAGCATAAAATATTTTTAAAAAAAAAATGGTTCCTATTAAACGGGCACAAATTTATTTATTTTTTTTTTTTATCCAGCTATAAGAATGAACTCATATATTCCTGGCCCCTTGTGGAGACATAGCTAATGTAAGGCCAGATAATTTTCATGGAAAAATCCCATAATCATCATTTAAAATTTGCAATATTTCCTTCAAGCTTTTCTATATTAGATTGGATACAGCTGTGAAGGGGGTAAGAGGAGAAAAAAAAAACACAAAACAATTTAAAGACAGCAGTATTTTTGTAAGATTTAAATATACTGCTGCCTTTAAGAGTAGAAAAAACAAACGCAATATACTGCTGCCTGTGGCCCTGTTGCTTTTATTCATGTGGTTCGATGTCTCCAGTATTCATCAAACCAATAGAATAAATAAAAGCAACAGGACTACAGGAGACATTGAAAACAAATCTCAATACCTAACAAAAACAATAACAGAACACTTATGTCAATTAACAGACAGAAATGCAAGTTCAGCAAGGAAAAAAATGATAAGAAACATAAAATAAGTAAAACACTTTGAAGGCATAAAAACATACAGAATCAGTACAATTAACAAGCATTAGCCCATAGGGTGAACCGGGTGAAACACCAAAAAAAAAAAAAAATTAAATTAAAAAAATAAATAAATAATAAATAAATAAATAAATAAACATTAGAAAACAAACACCCAGTCAGACCTAAAAAAATTGCAACTCACACACCCTTACTCCCTTTAGATTAACCCACTCCTTCAACACCCCCCCCCCCAAACACACACCCGTGACCCACCGACCCCACCCCCAATTAAAAATAATTAAATAAAATGAAAACTGGAAGCCTGAGTGATTTAGATAGGTAGGAAATAGGTAGTGGATGGATCTGAAGTAAACAGTTAACAGCAACATGGAGTACATCACAGCTCTAGTGTTAGTCTGTTATATAAATTGTTTTGATTTATCCACCAAACTAGGCTTTACTCAAGCATACAGCCATACATCTTATCTCATAGGCAAACATACAAAGAGTAAGAGCTCTTAAATTACATATTATCACATGACTAGTCATTCATTGCCCAAAAAGCACATATTAGTAAGAATACTTCAATTAACTAAATAATACAAAATTTTGAATTAAAACAGCAAAATAAAATAAACTAACAAACTGAATGGCTACAGGAACTAAGCCTGAAAAAAGGAGGCAACATACATACATCAATGTCACTTGATGGCAGATAGAGCCCTGTTCTATATGACCCGAAAACCTCTACCTGAAAACCAATAAAAATAATGAACCACAACAAAATAAATAAAACAAAAAAAAAAAATAAAGGAGGCAAAGCCATATATGAGAATCAAAAATACCCTGCAATAGGGCCATATATATTTGATAACATCAGATACACGTTCAATGGCTGCATTGCGTGCTGCAGCTTCTACAGGAGTTGGGGAGAGAAAATCACAGAAGTCCAGGATCTCTGCGAGGCCAAGTCAAAGGTCATATTATAAGCAAATTCTCTATTCCACTAGTTATACAACGATAAAAGTATTTCAAATTTAAAGATGTAACACAGAAAATAGCACTCATACATTCAGAAAGTTAAATCTTTGTTTTTTGTTTATTTTTTGTGAAAAAAGAACCTGGTGTATAGTGGGGGAGAAAAGTTTATTGTTTTAGGAGCTTTTTAATATTGAAAGAAGATGCAACAAACCTTGGTCTTTCAATAACAGAGTGGAGGCAAAACAAAACAAACATATTATATACATTGCTCATTTTCTAAACTGCTAAAAGGATCCTTAACTGCCATTCCTGTTGATAAAGATGTGGCCCAAATATTTTTATTTACAAGAGGTGCATGCCGTAGTCTCTTCTTAGCTCTAGTCCTTCAACAAGTCAACCCAACTTGTCAAATCTAGGACTAGGTCCAGGAAAGCAGCAGACAATCAACTGGCAACAGCAATTGCAGCAAACAAGTCCAAAATTTTAATCCCATTAATAAACTATACAAAATTCACAAGTTACCTAGAAGAAGACGCAATGTCATTACACCAATTTCAGCAAAATTTTCTTGACCCTCATATTGGCTATAGGCTCAATAGCAAGTTCACTAACCCTTCCCACCTACTTGAGCAAGGAAAAAAGAGAATGAACAAAAGGTTGCAGCGTAGTTTTGCCTTCATCAGCCATCAGCATTCATCAACTACTAATAAATTCAGCACCATAGTAATTTACCTACATAGCCTTATTGTGGCAAAACATGGCCAACAAAGGCAAGGAAAAAGCTTGCAAGAGGCCCCTATATCTTTCTCATTGTAGGTAGAGATCTCTTTCAAGAAGGCAATTAAATTCTTGGAGCATGACATGGAACAAGTTTGATTTCCAAATCGGTACATTTCCTTTTCGTTAATCATCACCCTAAAGATTTATATACAAGTACACAATTAATCCAGCCTGTCTTCTAACCTTTTTTTTTTTTTGGAAAGCAAAACAGTAGAGGGGTTTTTAGAAAAATGTATAGACAAGCCATAACTGAGCATCTTACTTGGGAATTTGGGAACTATAAACTTCTAAAATCTTGAGTTCATATTCTGCCCTCAATAGTCAACCAAACACAGATGGTTCGAGGTAAAATAAAAGCGAAAATCATTAAAGTAGGCAAGGATTACTGCAGATTCAACATTAACTAGAGAAGATAACAAAAATACATGCAGCCACAAATTCAATAACCTTCACTAATCTATTGACTACTGAGTACTGCCTCCCAACAATAATACTCTCTCCATTTCTGTTTCATTAAACATTTTCACTCTTTGGAAATGTCACATTAGTTGCAATCATGTAAAATTTAGTAATTTTGCTTTGATGAAATACCAGTTGAATGAGTAACTATACACTTAGGGGATGTTTGGTTAGCTATAAGATATAGGTTTTGTATGGAATTGGAATCACTAAAACCCATACTCCTTGTTTGGTTCATAATTATTACAGCTTTCATACCTGTGGAGCCCACAATCTAAATCCCCCCCGACGTATCTGTTCTCATACTGGGGAAGGGGTGAGGAGGTGGGTTTGGAGGAAACCCATCCTTAGAATTGGCCAAATTACATGAAATTAATGTTTTTTTTTTTAAATCCAACTGCTAATTACACTTTTTCAGCATCTAGCCTTCAACAATTTCACACTGTCACTAGCCATCCAGATCACATACACTTTAATTCTGAAAACTTGCCAACATAACCTCCACCACTACCGAATTAGAATCACAAGAGGGAGGTAAATTTGGAGGAAAACCATCCTTAAAATTGGACAATTCTTGGGAAAAAAATTCAAAAAAAAAAAATACTACCAATTAATCTTTTTCTCAGCATCTAGCCCTCAACAATCTCACACCATCACTGGCCATCTACATCACATACACTTCAACTTCATGAAAACTAAGCAACACAACCTCCACCACTATAAAAATCAGAACCACACAAGGGAGGTGGATTAGGAGAAAACCCATCCTTTGAATCGGCCAAATTCTAGGAAAAACTTTTTTAACAAAAAAATAAAAAATAAAAATAATAACTGCTAATTATAAATTTTCTCAGCATCCAGCCCTCAACAACTTCACAACAACCCTAGCCATCTACATCTCATACACTTTAACTCCATGAAAACTAGCCAACATAACCTCCACCATCCCCAAAGCAAATGACCATGAGAATTCAATTCTTGAGGTTTTGAGTTTTATATACACAAGATCAAATAAATGGAATTAGGAATGGATTTCTATGTATCATCCATTTTAAACCCAAGAATTTGAAACCAAACCCCATATTTGATATCATATGTCGAGCCAAATACCCCCTCATCTACCTAACCCCTCATGCTTTTATTCTGTATCATCAATAAGGGAACCAAGCAGGTAAATGAATTGTGGATTACCAATATGAGATATGGGTTTGTAACGGTTGAAACCCATAGCAAGAGTTTCTGTTTTTGGCAGATGAAAATTATATGCATAAATGAACTACACCAAAAACATGGTCATAGATATCAAGCTCCAACTCCATACCACCCAGTTTCATTCTTAATTCCAAATCTATACCACCTTGCCAGCCAATCATCCTCTTAATTTAGCAAATCCCATACCCTACTCACTTCCTCTCTCCTCTTTCTATGCTTGTGTGCCATTTGATTTGGTAGCAACTAAATAGAACCTAAGGAAGTAATTCCCAATAGTACACTGGGCTCAACATTACATTGACAAGGCATAACATCTTCAGAATTCATTATAGCACGCAAAAGAAAACTAAAAGATGTTAAAAAGACAAACAGTTATTGCAAATTCACTACAGTTATGGCGCCTTACTTCATAAACAACATAGCCTTGTATGCTAAAATGATGATGCCTTCCTGTGAATATTCATAGAGCCCAACAACAACCAGCTTCTCAGACATCTCAGACGCTTAAACATTCACACCACATAAATGACCAAATATAGAGTTCAACTGAGAGTTGATAACACTACCATACAACATTAAATACATGACAAGTCTTCTGTGGACAGAAGCTTATATATACAGAATAGTAATCTTATCACAATACAGACCACATCTACGACTGTATCCCATGTTATTCAAGGAAGAAAAGAAGAGCAATAACACTATGTTTGGATAGAGTAAAATGGAGGGAAAGGAAGAGAAGAGAAAAGAAGCAATGCATCATCCTTTATTTGGATATCTAATGCAAGGAGGGAAGGGGAGAGAATTGGAAGGATCCATTGTCTTTCCCCTTTAATAAACCAAATTCCTCCATTGTTGAAGAGATTTAAAAGGAGAATGGAAGTTCACCTTCTCCTTCCCCTCTCCTCCCTTTCCCTTCCCTCTTTTTCCTTCTTCTCCCTTTCCCTTCACGATTGGCAAACAAAGTGTAATTCTTGTTCATGTTGTTTCTTCAAATTGATGAAAAAAATAATATAGTAAAGAGTTTATAACAACACTAATAAGGCACCCACAAGAAAGTCACGCCTCACTCTGAAAGGTTTGTAATGGTTGATGAGTGAATTATTACTTTTCAAAATCAAACACCCTCGTACTTCCTATACATTGTTTTTTACTGAAATTGCATGCAACAAATCAGCAAGCAATGTCTGTGCATCTTCCACCCCTTACAACTCTCAACAAAAATTCGGCACAGATTGCTATTGCCTAATCTCATATACCCGTTGCTTATACAAAATAAGGTCAGTATGCTTCTATTCAAATATAGCAAATATGATTAAAACAAGCCCAAAAGACGGGCGACTGGTCTTCTATTCACCAGGTAAGAATGAGGAGAATAAGCAAAACAGAATGCCTCACTCATAGTTTCACCCTCAGTAGCATGAACTCACAAACTATCAAAAATTTCACTTTCTCCCAAAAACTCCCGTTCCCATCAAACTTCTAGCAACATTTATAGCAACCCACATAATGAAATATTTGCACGCCTCGAAACTCGAGTATATATTTCAATCTTCAAATTTACAAATGATGCCCAAAACACAGGAAAGTAGTCCCTACTCCCTAAAGTCCACACCCAATAATGTCCATATCAATATACAATCTTCTACTTCATAACAATAAAAAAAAGGGCTATACTCCTAAATTATAATAACCCATAACACCAAAACAAACAACATACATATATTTGCATAACATACAATAAAACTACAATCTTTGATACAAATTACACAAATTAAACTAATCATATTAGTATCCAAATTAACCTTTATGAAGCTGAAGCATAGGGCACTTGAACCGACAATCGGCCCGAAACCAACCACTCTCGAGCGTCCACTCCGGCGTCCGATCAGCATCATTTTCTCTCTCCTCCGCAGCAACCACCTTAGGCATAGGAGTTGGATCAATTACTTCATCCGAAGCATCATCGACGTCAAGGGAGAAGTAATCGGTCGCGGCGGCGTCAGTGGAGGCGGGCTCCAATGACGTAAGAGAGATTTCATTGCGGAACACTACGTAGTCGCCGGCGTCTTCGCCGCCGGAAATGGTGGTTTCGACGGCGGCGGAGGGAGGTAGGAAAGGGCTTAGGGTTTCATAAGAGTATTCGCCAACCGCCATTGCAATTGATTCGGAGCTTCTTTGCTCCTTCGGTTTTCATACAGTACTGAATACAGTGAAAAGAGTTTTGTTAATGAAAAAAAACTAGGGTTTTCTTTTGCTTTGGTTTTTTTAGGTGGAGTTTTTTTTTTTTTTTTTTTTTTTTTTTTTTTTTTCTTGAAACAACCCTCAAAAGAGACTTAGGGTCGTTTGGTTAAGGGTAATCATCAAAGGGAATGAAAATCAACTGCCTCCATTCCCTTTGTTGCTGTTTGTTAAGCTTTTTTTCCCGTTCCCTTTACTCTCTCCATTCTCCTAAATCCTTCCAACTTCATTCCCTATCCCCCTAGGTATTCCCATTCCATTCTTATCCCCTAGCCACCCCAACAACACCATACCACCATCCTACTTCCGACAGAAACCACCGGGAAACCCATCCCCCTCACCGTCGGTCGTCCCCCCGCCCTTCGTCGCACTTGCCCCTCGCCGCTGCTCACCGTCGCTCGTCGATGTCCTCTCCCCCGTAAAATCCTCCTCCAACCCTGCAAAAACCTAGAAACAACTTGTAACTCCCCATGAAACCATCAGTGGCGTTCCCACCACACTCGAAATCTTAAACACTAAGGTTTCGAAGGTGGTGGGGGAGCCGCCGACGATTTTACGGGGAGTGAGAAATGAATCTAGGGTTTTGCGGGCTGGGAGAGATTTTACGGGGAGTGAGAAGATGCTTCTAGGGTCGCGACGAACGGCGGCGAGGGGAGGGGAGATGCGGAGAAGGGCGGCGAGTGGTGGTAGAGGCGCGACGAGTGGTGGAGTGGCTGGGTGGAGGCGCGAAATCGTGAAAAGTTAAGCGATGTGGTGGTGGTGTGGTGGTTGGATTGGTGGCAGTGATTCCTTTGTTATTCAAAACAAACAACACCCTAAAAATGAGGGATTTTCATTCCATTCCGATTCATTTCCTTTATTCATTCCATTCCGATTACCCCATGTGAACCAAACGGCCCCTTAGATTAATAAATCACTAGCATAGCACCTGTGAATGTACACTTACAAATCTTATTACTTATATTTATTTGGAAAATTTGACATTTGCTACCAGCAAAAGCACCTTACTTTACATTTACTATCGCTTTAATTTTATTTTTTTTTACTACCACCCAAATCCCAAAATTTTAGATATCACTATCCTTTACCTTATGTCGTTACCATTGCCGTTAGGGGGGGCCAATCACCGTCCAACCACTTCACTACCACCTTCCAGCCACCGCTCCATCTTCAACCACCCTCATTGCCACCATCAAACCCATCAATGCCAGTGCAAAAACGATTCTCCGGTGCCGGCGACCTCACACATCCTAACAGCAGCAAGTGCGAACTCCACCAGCAGCGCCAGCGTGAACTCCACCAGCAGTGGCACCGCAAACTCCACCAGCAGCGGCCCACCTCCTTTCCAAACACCACCAACATCAACCTTGCCCCCAAATCGCACCAACCCACACCAAAATACACCGTCCAATGCTGCCCCCAAATCACACCACATACACTGTCCAATCCACACCAACGGCGGTTGTGCATAACTCACTCCTCCGCCACCAATACCCTAACCTGATTCGAAAACGACCACTTTTCCCCTTTCCCCCAACCGAAACGGCCCATTTCCCTTTCTCCCACCCTGAATCGACCCCCCCTCCCCTTCTCCCACCCAAAAACCGCCACCAAAACCCTAAATTTATCCCCCAAAACCACACTAAACGGGTTTCAGGGTTTCGTTTTCACTCGTTTAAGGTGGTTACGGGCATCGTCGTGTTTGGGAAATGGTGGAGGTGGGGTTTGCCGACGTTAGGAGAGCGTTTGGGCGTCGGCACGGACAACAGAAGCCGGCAAAGGGAGGGGGTGGGTGGCTGGGATTTTATTTTTAAAAAAAAATCATTTTTTTTAATAAATTATTATTTAATGAAATAATGGGTCCCGCTTAACGGAATCCTTTTTAATGAAATAATGGGTCCCACTTAACGGAATCCTAACGGATTTCATTAAGTGTTAGCAATATCTATAACTTTGGGATTTGGGTGGTAGTAAGATAAAATAAAAAATTAAAGTGGTAGTAAATGTGAAGCAAGGTCCTTTTGCTGGTAGCAAATGTCAAATTTTCCTATCAATTTCACAAAATTTTAAGATAAAACGATTTAATGAGTAATAATGAATTTACTTACATATATGTCTTAATCATGCATTTTTAACCTCTTAAAATAATCATATCTACTTTAAAGACAACTTTTTTATTCTTAAGTTGAATGTAAAGTTTTTAAATATAACTAGCCTTTTGGTCCGTGCAATGCACGGGTTGTTTATAGGCATATGATGGAGTAATTTTTTTTGTTTTACAATATGGTTTTATAGGAAAATGAATAGTTTTAAAAGGAGAGGAAGGGGTGAAAATTAAATGTAAGGTGGAAGATATTAAGTTAAGGGAAAGTGAATCAAACAACCACCATACATGTTAATGCTAATGCTTTTTTTTTTTTAAAAAAAAAAAAAAAAAAAAAAAAAGAGAAAGAGGATTTAAAAAAAGAAAAGGTTAAATGAAGTGACATGTGACATAGGTGAAAAATAAATTTTACACGTGGCATGATGTGCATGATGGTTTGTGTTTTTTAAATACTAAGTATAGATTCAACTCAATCACTGAACTACTGATAATGAATCCCTATATTAAGTCATTTTTTTTTTCATTTCTACTTGACACACTGGCCACCTTATTTTAAAAATAATTAAACTCTGTCCACTAACTTAATATATATAACGCTTTTTCTGTGTGACTGGCACGGCTAACACAAGCCAAAATACGAGTAACCCCGGACCAAGTAAACCCAAACTGACTTAGTGACCCTTGACCGATCGAATTACCCTTGACCAAGTAACCCCTAATCGACCGAGTAACCCCTGACCAAGTAATCTTGGCCACGCGGTGTAGCCAACCAGATATGAAACTTTGTGAACTCAATATATGCCTGGAAAAAAATTTCTATTACAAAACAACATGATTATTGTATTAATATTGTATTTCGTATACAAATAATGTCATATCTTTTTTTCTATGGCCTCGAATACACTAGAAATTTAACATGTAACTTCTAAAAATAGTAATTTATATTCACATATAGCATGAATATAGACATATAGTCACATCTTTTTACAGACATTTGATATGTTTATCACAATTTTTATATGTAGCATGATGTATCGTGCGACATGATATGGGTTACTCGAGTTACTCGGTCTGGGGTTACTTGAGGAGTTACTCAGTCAGTAACTCGAGTAACCCCTGACCGAGTAACTCCTCAAGTAACCCCTGACCAAGTAACCCCTCGAGTAATCAATGACGTAATAACCCCTGACTGAGTAACCCCTCAAGTTACCCCTAACTCCTTAAATAACCCTTAACCAAATTACTCGAGTATATATTTAACCCATGACTGAACTCCTTAAATAATCCTAACTTTGTAACTCGAGTAACCCTTGACCGAGTAACCCCTCAAGTAACCTTAGAACTGAGTGAACCCCTCGATATCTAACAAAATAACTCGAGTAACCCCTGTCACATGGTGTGGCCTGCTGCACTAAAAAGTTGTAGTAGTTTAATTATGTATGTAAATATTAGTTCTCATATTTTTCTTTCCCTTGTGGAGAATAAAAAATATGAAATTATCTTGTCTCACTACTAAATTTTATCACATGATAAATCAACCTCATCACCACACACATATTGCATCTTCCACATCCAAAAATTTGCACGTCATCTGAAAAGCCACAGCTTAGTATAATTTTATTTTTTCAAAAATTGTAACCTTTAATTAGCTATATACGACCTTAGAAGGATGTGTAGGCTTGTCCTTAATTGTTTAATTATTACTATTATTATTATTATTATTATTATTATTATTATTATTATTATTATTATTAAATAACAAAAACCTACAAAGTCAAAAGATTTACAAGAAATTAGTGGGGAGCCGAGATACAATCTAGGCCCCCACCCCTCTAGCTATAGCGAACCCAATCCTGTTAAAGATGTGAGCAGCCGCACGAGCTCCAATATCCTGAGTCCTAGCGAACGCCTGAACCCGCTTCAGCAACGCAACGACATCCTTCTCTAATTCCCCCAATGAAGAAAAGGAGAAAGGAAGAAAACCATAGCCAATAGCCCTGCAACGCGCCCCATACTTGTCTCGCTTCCGCTAAGCCGCAGACGACATAACACGACCAGGAACGAAGTCAGACAACCCAGATTGAGTCAATGGAGAAGACCCCGTCAAGTCAACACATACATCTAGGCCTCTATCCCAGGTGTTAAGCAACACATCTGCTGGCCGAAGAGCCCCGTCGTTCCCTCCAGTTAACCCAACGTTGACCTCCTTCCTTGCAGATTATTATTATTATTATTATTATTATTATTATTATTATTATTATTATTATTATTATATGTAATCAAATGATATTTTTATTGCACATACAAGTATATAATAGTGAGAAAAAAATTATATGTAAACAAATATAAGAAAAGTAAAAAAAAAAATGCGTATTACTCTTACATATCACTCATGATGACATATAAAAAACATACAACTCATTTTCTATGCGACTGGCACGTGTGATCGCTTGTAAAAAGAAATAGTAACGCCTTTGACACCGACAAAATAATCCCTATTATACTAACATATTAGAGTAGCCCCTAATTATACTTATTGAGTAATTCTTAAATAATTAACAAATAAAGTATCCCCTACAACACTCACAGTGTAACCATTATATCACTTACTAATAAGTAAGCCCTATATTTTCTTCAAAAAAAAAAAAGTAAGCCTTATATCACTAATTGAGTGTATCTTATTAATATGTAATTTTCATACTTAATATGTAATTTTCATAATTTTTTTCAGTACGAAATTAAAGATATTTAGCGATAAAAAATTACACATAAAACGATGATCTAATCTAAACTTATTTTTTCTGATATGAACTTATTTTTTCTGATCTGAACTTATTTTTTCTGAAATAAGTAAAAATAGGGTGAACTAAACAAGGACTTACTAAGGCAGTTCACTATTTTTTAACGGTTCTTTGGGTTGATTATAATGTTAGAATAATTAGGGAATAATTAGTGCATAATTAGGATTATCCAAAGTTAAATAATAGTTGAGATTAAAATAAGAAGACATCTCATAGTTCAGATTACGTACTATTGTTAATTTTTCCTAAACATAATCACTACAACAAATCATCACTTGTGCCACAAGTAGCGCTTATCCCGTGACAAATTTTTCATTTGTGTCACAAGTAGTGTTTTCACGTGGCAAATTTTACACTAGTGCCACATGTAATAATTTTTAAGTGGCAATCACTTTTACGACACGGGTTTTATATAATATAAAGTTTTTTAGCTAAATTTACCTATG